ATTGAATCACATGGAACTGAAGGTCAAGACTTATTGACACAGATCATTTTATCAGCCTATGGAGATAACACACACAAACATACACACACACCACACCACCACCACCACCACCACCACCACCACCACCACCACAACAACAACAACAACAGCACTGGCTTCAGTTATTTTTTCCCCATCAATTATGAACATAATATAAATGATTATTATTTCAATTAAAAATAAGTTTAATACATTGATTCACAAAACTGTATTTTCTTACTTTAATGTTCCCCAAATAAATGATCCAAATACATCATTGAAAGAGGATTAGATATTAGGTAGTAACAGCTTTGAAGTCTTGCATGTAGTTACTCAAAACACTGTGAATTTCCTCTCCTGCCCTTGAAATGCACTATGTAAATATTGCATTTGATCCTTAATTCACACTTCATAAATAATTTATTTCAAAAAATATCCCTCCACAAGCACATCAGTTGCTGAGGTGTTCAGTTTTCGGGGAAAGCATTTATTTACTGCCTGAGCCCAGGAAGGCTGGTGAAGACTTGGCTAAAAGCTCCACATGGAGCAAATTATGGTAATTGTATTAATGCTCAAATCCAAGATACTCTGCTCAAATCTGCTAAAAGGTTTTGCACTGTATTGCCCACATCTTGATGGGCACTGAGTCTTCTGAAAATGTTAACACTTCGTAGGGAGGCTTCCGAGATTCAGCTTTCAGAGTTCCAAGAATTACCAAAGGATGTCTGCCCGTAGCTTTTAGACAAGCTTTTCTGACAGTCAAAACTGAGAGTTAAAAACCTCTTTAATATCTTCCACTTTGGGTCCAGACTGAAAGTATATATTCAAGCACCAGAAATGAAAATCAGAGGCAACACAGCGCAATTAATTTTGATGAATGGGTAAGTTTTCAATCACGTATGGCAATATTCTGGTTAATGATATGTCTCCTTAGGACATCCATTAAAAATCCATTAACTTAACAGGCAAAATCTAATATAGTTACCCTGGAAATTTTCTGCTAGATTAACATTATGGACTTTTAATGAATATTTCCTGTAGATATTGCTCTATTAGCAGAGCTAATCTACTAATTAAACATAGGTCTTGTACGAGGATAAAGAAGCATACAAAAATGTTAAAATATTCAGAGGATCATGGTTGAAGAATGACCCGAGTTTTAAAAGACCACTAAAGTCAGTAAATATAATAAAATAAATGTTAAAGCAAAGAGCGTTGCCTAACCATGCCCATCATTAATGTATATACGCACTAATCTAACTGTAATTTTGCTATTAAATGTGCTATGCCCTGTACTGACCAGGAAAACAAAGGCAAAGAAGTAAAAATCCTGAGGTGTGAGACTGAGATATATAAACAAGCAATCAATATGCATTATAAGAGGGTATGGTGCCACCAGCAGGTCAACCTGTACCTGTGGGGTGAGTGCATCAGCAGCCTGATGGTGCCTCCAGATTTCCTGATAGCCCAAAATTGCTGCTGTGCCTTTGGCCAGACCCCAAGAACTTGGGGCCAAGTTTACCAAAATATTAAATAGCCAATAGTTAGGAATGTGGGAGCCATGCCCACAAACCACCTCAGGTGCAGCTATACAAGCTCATTTTTTTTTTTTTGCCTTATTCCAGAGATCCATAAATAAATCTTAAAAGAGATCAAAAACAATTAAGCTCGGACCCGCACATGGCTAAACAGACTGGAGTAAATTGGAGGGGGGCGGGTTAGGCTGGTATCCACCCAAGCAGAGCCCTCCCCGTCAACAGCCACTTGCTTCCAAAATCCAAAATTGCTGGCCCAACTCCACTGCCTCAGGATGGACCACACCAAGATATAATCTGCTGAAAACTCAGGTATGCATTTTTTAAAAAATTTTTATTAGTGAGACACCATGAGGTACAGTTGTAGACTTACAAATTTTTGTGCTTGGGTTTCAATTATACAATGATCAAATAGGTATGCGGGTTTTGTGACTGAAATCTCCAGCCTTTCTCAGTCAGGGTCAGGATGGGCTATCTCCCCCCAATTCCCTGTACTTTGGAAGGTTAGGCAGCCGCATCTATACCTCAAAGCGGTCACCCAACTGAAAAACTACTCTAGCCATACTGTTCTGATAAAGATACTGAATGCCCTGAACAAGTATCATGACTTCTTGGTACATGTATTGCAAACCATAATGCCCAAAAGGAAAAGGAGAGAGAGAACAGGATGGAAAGTGCCGAGCATAGAGGGAAGTTGGGGGTGGAGGGGAAGGGTGTTGGGGGATGGTGGTAGGGAAACAAGGGACATTGGTGGTGGGAAATGTACACTGGTGGAGGGATAGGTGCTGGATCACTGTATGACTGAAATCCAATTATGAACAGTTTTGTAATGGTCTATCTCATGGATATTCAATTAAAAACTTTAAAAAAATTTTTAAAACAGTAACGTGGAGTTCATGCCCAATTTAATATGAATAATCAATGACTGAATAAAAATCAGTACTCCTACATTAGAATTAAAAATATGCATTATAGTAAAGCTACCTTCAACATACTATGGGAATGCAGAAGAAGGAACAATTAAAGTGTGTGTGTGGGGGGGGGGAAGTTGATGGGCATATGAAAAAAGAATTAAATAAAATAAATTAAATAACTGAAATGTGTATTCCAGTAAAATCTTTGGCTCCTTTTAGGCTCGTCCACTGAGAAACTTTCAACACTGACATAGCCTATGTTGGTTCTGCTTGTAACTTAGCTGGTTCTTAACTGAAATTTCAGAAATTTCTGAAGGGCTCTTTCTGCTTACTATGTTGAGCTTACTGGTTCCCTCAGGTTTATTTTTTCACAGCCAAATAGACCCCAGAGCAGTGGTTTTCAACCTTTATATACCTGCAGATCAGCACCTATTTACACACTGGTTTGGTTCTCATACAACAGTAACCTGTGACAGTGGTCCATAGAGCTGCTATTAAAACCACTGTCCTAGACAACCATCACAGCAGTAGGTGGATGCCACTTTGTTCTTTCAGGTCCCTACCCTTTTATTCTTGATCTTAAATAGAGCAGTCATGAAGACAGTGAACTCCACCAGAACTGAAATAACCTGAAATGTGAATCTGTGAACAGGGATGGTGAGGAGCTGGAGCAGATACTAACATTAAAATATCTGATGGAAAAATTTTTGTATTTCATCTGGTCATTTGGAGAACACATGGTTGTCCAAGTCAATGACCACATTTTCTAGCCATGTCTAAGCCAATGATTATATTACTTTGCAGGAGTATCTTACAAACAAGGAGTAGTCAATGGGAAGTGATCAGAAATGACAAAGTCCATCTGTCTGTTGTTAAACTTCTTTCTAAAAATATAGATGAATTCCTTTGGTCCTCTGAATTCTTGCACTCACTGGCCGAGAACCAATGAGACTCAGAAAGACTCACTGAATTCTTATACTCACTGACTAAGAACCAAAGAGACTCAGATTCATTTGGACCCAATGTTGGATGCCGTTTTACGAGAATGGCAGAGCTGCCCAGAGGCCCCACTTTCATGTTCCCCAAATGGAAACAACCTTCTATCTTGTTTAATCCTCTGTAGCTTCAAATTTTATTATATATCACCTTAGCCAGCACAATAAATAATTCAGAAGAATTTATAATCAGGTGTAATTGTTTATCTGATGATAGATCATGTGAATTATAAGTACTAAGTATAGGAAACAGGCATATTTCTGGGAAATAAACATGGGAAATAAAATATGAAACATCAAAATGCATGCTCTCATAGTCAAAACATGATCTAGATAACAATTGACATTTGAAAGACTGAAAAAAGATGTGGACCACTACACTACTGTTAGTAAAAGATGCCTTGGGGCTGGAGATACAGTACAGTGGGTAGTATGCCAGCCTTACATGAGGCCGACCTGGGTTCAATGACAATACTATATGGTCCCTTCAGTCCTCCAGGGAATGATGCCTTAGCACAAAGCCAGGAGGATGCCATGAGCACTGCCAGGTGTGGCCAAGCAACAACAACAACCAAAAAAAAAAATAGATGTCTTGAGGACAAATGGATGGAACTTGAGCTGATACCAAAAATTATATAATAAAAAGGATGGAAATGAAGGATAGCTACCAGGTGGTTTCACTCATATGCAGAACAAGAACAGCTAAAACAAACAAACTTTTTGTTGCAAAAGCAAACAAAACTAATTCTTAGACTCACTGGAAACTATAGTGGTTATCAGAAGGAAAGGTAAGGTGAGATGAGCAGGAGCAGAGGAATCCTTTGGTGGTAGAACAGCATCATGACTCTGGTGGCAGGAAAGTTCAACTCCATAGAACATATGGAGATATAAGTCCCTGATGTTAAGAATATTGTAAACTATTATGTCATCAACACAAACTAAATTGTTTATGTAACTTTCATCTAAATTTTCTTGCACATATATAGTATATAAAATATACATATCTAGTATATGGACTCTGCTCATGCCTGTAATTTAATTCTTTACGCCTTTCCACTTCAGTCAGTGTCTCACAAAACTGGGAGTCACAGGCCTCATTCAGGAACCATTGACTCATGTTCAGTTTGTCTCCTTCCTGCTTTTCTCTTCTCAATTATCTTTTTCTTTTTTTTCCCTGTTCGGAGCCTTCTTTGGTTCCCTGAACCTACTTCACAAAACGTCTTCCTAGTACTGACAAGAAACAATCCATCCCTTGATTATGCTCTTCCCAGCTGCTCCAGGCCAAATCTTCTTTTATTGCCAATGATGTGCGAGACACTATATTTCACTATGGATTGTTATAGCCTGGAACCTCTCTCATTTCCTTTAAGCCCCAACATGAGTTCACAGTTACCGCCTACGCACCGTAATTTACCTAGTTCTTGGGGGAAAGCGTTGCATTTCTATGTTTCAGTAAGTTCAAATAAGTTTTACCCCCATAAAACCAACATCCTCAAATACACATACATAAAATTATTTTCCAGATTTTTAAAAAATACCTATTTTTCTGTAGTTATCGGCAACTAAGTCTTCCAGCCCAATCATCTTCCAGAAACTGTCATCCCAGCCCTTCTCTGCTGAGTACGTCCATTTGCACACCAGGGAACAGAGAGACCTAAAAAAATGGGGAAGATATAGAAAGGCAATAATTTAATCTTGGTTTCTTTCATATTTTGTCAAATATCTTTCCAGAGAGTTTTAGTAGCATGCACTATGTAGTAAACCAAAGTATGTAATTATGCATTCCCATTTAGATCAAAAGTTATCATTTATAACTACGAACGACTGGGAGAATGTTCCTTTTCTTTTTCCCTTCTTGGTATTAGCACTGTGGTACTGGGAGGTGTCCCATCTGTGCTCAGAGGCCATGTAAGCCACACCTGAGCAGTGCAGGGGGCTGTGCAGTGGGGGGAACACAGAACCAGAAATAAAACCCAAGGCCACATACTGTAAAGGCACGAAGTGTACCACTCAAGCTCTATCCTTGGTTCAGAAGTATCTACTTTCACTTTCACAAGGGTCAACCCTCCATTGAAATCCTGAACAGTGTTCAAATATTTTTATTTACATATATATTTACTTGATATTTTTAGATGAGAATTTTTTTAAAATTTTTATTAGTGAAACACCATGAGGTACAGTTGTAGATTTACAATATTTTGTGCTTGGGTTTCGATTATACAATGATCAAATACCCATCCCTCCACCAGTGCCCATTTTCCACCACCATGGATAATATCCCTCCCACCTACATCCCCCCCATCCCACCCTGCCTCTGTGGCAGGGCATTCCCTTGTGTTCTCTCTCTCCTTTTGGGTGTTGTGGTCTGCAAAAGAGACATTGAGTGGCAAACATGTTCAGTTCATAGTCTACTTTCAACATGCATCTCCCCTCCTGGGAGGATCCTCCAAACACCCTTTATTTGGTGCTCCCTTCTCTATATGAGCTGCGCTTTCCCCTAGAATGCCCGGCTGGCCTCTACGCTATGGAGTAATCCTCCTGGTGCTGATTTAGATGAGAACTTACGACAAAGAGGAAGCGTTGTATGATGGCCCAGATAATTATTCAACTTCAGTTGTTGTATTTTTACAAAACTGTATTTTTACAATACATTGGTTGTTGTAGTTTTCAAAAAATTTCCCTATCATTTGAAATACAAAAATACCAACTTATACAATGAAATTGAATCTGGGATTTATGGCAGAGTAGTAACAGAGAAGGCTAACTGAACAGGTACAATGGGCCAGGGGCAGGTGGATTTGGGGCTGAGTGGTGGGTCAGTGGGTATTTTTTGCAGGATTCTGCTTTGTATGTGATCACAATTCTCTGAAATAAAAATGTGATGGGAAAAAAATCATTCCTTATATAGGCACAGTAATTCCCCTCTAAAGTCCTGCTTAACAGGAAGCCAATTTGGGTGCTAGAAGGGGTATGCTGAGTACTAGAAGCAGCTTACTCTCATGCTTCACTTTTCATCGATTCACCTACTCTCTAACAAGAATGATCTGCAGTTCTCTGGGAAGAAGGAAGAAAAAAAAATAAAAGTATTCTTGCACACATCTGTACCTTTGCCCTAACTCCTACTCTATATTTGGAAGATTCTTCCCAGCCCCTCGCCCCAGGGAACTCCAACCCATTCTGGGTGAGGGGGGCTGCTGAGCTTCAGGGCATGTATTATCTCTTTGTAATACCCTAACCAAAGGGGATCATTAGCTGCTTTGTTTTGCATCTTCCCTATTGTCCAATCTGCCTACTGATCTATTCCTCACTGTATCCACAGAAAGTTTACACAAGAAACTGATGATCTCAACTCCAAATCCCACCTATTGATCCTCACTGCTTTTAGGAAAAACAGTCTCCTCCTTAGCAGGGTCTCAAGCTCCCCAGGATATGACCGAGATATCTACCCTGGAATCCTACCCTTGTTTTTGCCATTCTGCAGTATCAAACTGTCTGAGGTACCTAATTTTCTCACTTCCTTTTGTTTCCCTGTGCTCAGTGTAGAACTCATTCACTCTATCCCCCAGTTCCAACTTCATCACTCAACTCAAATGGATCCTTTGCAACCAAATCCAAAGGTTTTTCTACAAACACAATCTGCATAGACACCTGTTATTTTATTGTCCCTCTCCCTGACCTTCAATTGTCGGTGATGTGGTTGTTGTGGTGAATGGGAGGTTATATATACGCTTGGTTGTGACACTCACCAAGGGGTCACAATCATATCATGGTTCTTGCACACTTGGCTGTAATCTTTAGTTGTGGTGCCTGCATGCACACATGTTCATCAGAAGTTGTACTTTCTGGACATGATAACTGGCTAGGGTATCTCACCCCTCTTTGTGGTGCATATAATATCTGGCTGCGGTGTGGTTAGATATCTTTTGCAATACCAGGGATCATAGGCCCCAGAGCTGCCAGGACAGAAATTGGTACATAGAGCACTGAGGATCAAACTCATGATCAGATGCTTGCAAGGTTACAAGGCAGAACTTCTTTCCAAGCCACTGAGCTCAACAAACTCCCATCTCAGTATTATAGCAATTGTTCCTGCCCTTTCACTTCTCCACTTCTCTCATTAAACCAGCAACTCCTTCAGGGCAAAATGAATCTGGTTCATCTCTGAGTCACCAGTTCCCAATCCACATTCACTTGTCAAACCAGAATGAGACTATCTGAGTGGAATGAATAAACCTGGCTTATCAATCTCACATAAACAGAACTTGCTCATTTTTAAAAATATTCTCATATTAAAATGTGGGCTCACTTTAAAAGAGTGTCATTTTAAAGATAATCTGTCTGATCAAGTCAAAGATCTAGGTATAAATCTCATTCAATCATTCACACAGGTCAAGTCACTCAATAAAGAATAAGTCCTCATTAACTATGATGTTGGTATTATGCTAAATCTAAGATAATCCGCAGAATGCTCAAGACCTGATAATCTGTTCTTACAGAAACTAAGATTTTTAACTGGATGGTAGAAAAAGGTGAGTGATCATATTTTTATCAAAAGTGGCTCAGGTGAAGGGGGGGCTAGCCCAGAAAAACTTACTACATGTCCAAAATCGGTAACCTTGTTCTAGGCAAGATAATGCAGTTGGGTATGTACCGAGAAGGTAGACATGGGCGAGGAACATTCTGAAGAGTGAACACTAGACTAATTCTTCCTGGCACAATGCCTGCAGTTCTGACTTCCCAGGCACTCGGAGAGTTCCGTGGAAAGAATAATGTGATAGCACTGAAGCCAGTGTGTGAGGTAGTTTCTAAAGATGTAACTACATGGAACAATTCTTTAATACCTTAATTATTTAATACTTCCCTTATTCATACATTAAGTGCCTCCCCACTGCTTTTTTTTGTATCTTCAATGATGTGTGTCTGTGTATGTGTGTGTGTGTGTGTGTGTGTGTGTGTGTGTATGTGTGTGTGGTTGGGTTTTGGCCACACCAGGCAGTGTTCAAGGATTACTCCAGGCACTATGCTCGGTGATCACTCCTTGCAGGGCTCAGAGGAAATTATGGGGTACCAGGGAACAAACCCAAGTCAGGAAACAAACCCAAGTGTGCAAGGCAAGTACCGTAGCTTCTATACATCTCCCCAGCCCTTGTGTATATGTGACTATGTGTGTGTGTATGTGTTTTGGGGGAAGCACACATGGTGGTGCTCAGGGCTATTCCTGGCTCTGTGCTCTGGTGTTTCCCCTGGTGATACTTGAGATACCACATGCAGTGCTTGGATCTAACTGGGAATGACTGCACACATGGCAAGCACCATAACCTTTCACTATTTCTTTGGTCCCTTCATCGTTTCTTGCTTCTTTCACATATCCTTGTCTGCCTCATAAACTCCAGGGCATCTCCACAGTCTAGTTCCAATCTCATCTTCTCTGAAAGTTTTCCTACTATGTCGAAGCTAAACTCATGGTTCTGAATTCATAATATAACTTGGATCAGTGCACTGTAGTGGGAGACATTTAATGGACCTCATGGTCCCAGTAAAATTCCACACAGTCCACACGGCTACATTTTATACCCTGAAACTTGTAGCACTCACCCTACAATGTTGGTACGGTATCTTTTCCTACCTCTAGACTTTGGATTCTGTCATGTGACAATTTGGCCAAAACAATGAGAAGTGACTACCTGACCTTTTCAAGGCTAAGTCTTGGTAGCATTACTTGCTTCTTGTTGCTGTTTTGACATGAACAGAAGACCAGGCCTGGGCTAGCCATTGATCCCAGGAGGAGAAGAGATAGTTGGAGCAGAACAATAATTAGTCACACCTGCCTAAATCTGACGTCTGTCAACAGCCAAGACCCACTTGAGTAAGCCCAGCATGGAGCAGAATACCAGAGCAAAGCCTAAATGAGCTATCGATGAGTCAAATCAGTGATTACTGCACTAAATTATGGAGCATTAGTTGTGGCCTGTAATAGACCAACAGCTAAACAACTCTTCACTGCAGAGCTAAGCGACTGCCAATAGATGTTACTGTCCCAATAAGGGAAAGGAGAGAAATAGCTAAGCCCTCACAGGAAATCAAAATAACAGCCCAAAGAGAATGGTTGGAGTGAAGATGACTAAGGCCAAGAGGCATTAAGTTTTACAGCAGCAAATGCTAGTGGCAACACCACCCTCCCCCTTCAAGGTCATTTCACACTTAGTTTCCTAGTCTCTTTAAATCAAGTCTGGGGTAGTATGGAAGGACTGGCAACACTTAGAGTGTGCATATGAAGCCAAATTTGTGCATACTCCCCACAAATACCCAGGAGAGTAAGCACAGGACTTATCTTGGGGGGAAGTCAAGGAAAGGCACCAGGAACAGAAGAAGGGGAGTGCCCTGAGGTTTCTATGGTTTTTTCAATCCTTGAGGTGCTCTCTTGGGCAATTAGCACTAGCCCAGACAATGATTCATCTTCAGATAAGGTGACCTTCCAGCCCCAAAGGGCAGAGTGCTGAGTTCATTCTTATCAGACTAGAAGACAGGGGCCAGTGAAAGACAGGGGCTGCACCTGTAGGCCTGAGGTGCTTCAAAGATGAGCCACCACAAAGGTAAGTGCTGTTCTGGGTAAGGACACAGGGCCACAGGGCAGGGCGGAGCTGAGAGATTTCA